AGCTATTGTTAATGTCAGGGATAACAACATATTCATCTAGTTGTCCAGAAAAAGAAGATTTTGTTTTATTTCCCGTTGTTAGGCTGAAAATAAAACTCCATCCCCTGGGGATCTTGGGGGCTATTTGTTTTGGCCCTTCAGGGAGTTCTGGACCCCTGAGAGTGACACGTCCTGGAAACAGAATACCTTGCTTTCCCAGTGGGAGGGTAGTCCTCCAGGCTGCTCGTCCTCAACAGAGGGGTCCAGCATGGTCTGGGATAGAGGCCAGCATCTTCTCTCTGGGGGACATATCAATCCAAGTCACCAGGACTAATGGCCTTGTTGTTTGTTTGTTCTCTGTCAGCTGTGTCTACATCATTTACAAAGTGATTTCACACACATGACCGACGGCATGGTGATGTCAACATGACGATGGCAGTGAGATGCAAATGACTCTCTCTCTCACCTCCTGCAAGTCTTTGCTCAAATATCCCCTTCTCAATGAGACGTGCCCTGACCACTCTGTGAAAACTGTCATCTGCCCGCATCTCTGCAGTCCCCACCTTCCTTACCCGGCTCCATTTTTTAGAATTTTCTTTTCTGATCCTTAGCAGCCATGAGAATGCACCCTGGGCCCCCCAACTCCAGGCAGCATAGTTGGCCAAGGGCCTCAGCTCTCTGGTTTGAAGTCCATCACCGTGTTACAGCTAAGACCACACCTTCCACTGGCTGTTCCCAGCCAATGACTGAGGACGTCACGGAGTTATGGTTCGAGGACTCCCTGACGGCCTCGCCAAACCAGGAAGCCTCTGTCCAACCTTCTCTCTCTCTCCTCACTCCGGGTCAGACTTGCACGGTGGTCCAAGGTGCCCCTGAGCCTTCTCTGGCGGCCTCCCTGTTTCCCTCATACGGGCATTTCCTCCAAGAACTTGCGTGCTCAACCCTGACTCAGTGTTTGCTTCTCAGAAGCCCCAACTAACACCCTATAGCATCTAACTTTGCTGATAGTGCCGTCGAGTCAATTCAGATCCCTGCGCCCCTGTGTCCAGCAGAGCAGAACCTGCCCCGTCTTTCTGCGCCATCCTCTCACCTTCCGGTGCTCTATCAGACTGTGCCCTGCTGCTCTTCTCAGCATTTATCCACCTATATGCTAAGTCCTTTGCTTATTATGGTTATTTTCTATATATATTTTATTTTATTTTCCATCTCCGCCCCCAAGAAGGCAGGATTTTATTTTTATTTTTTAAAGATTGGCCCTGACCTAACATCTGTTGTCAATCTTCCTCTCTCGTTTATTTATTTTTTCTCCCCAAAGCCCCCACACACAGTTGTATATTCTAGTTGTAGGTCCTTCTAGTTCTTCTATGTGAGCTGCTGCCTCAGCATGGCTACTGACAGCCCAGCGGTGTGGTTCCACACCTGAGAACCAAACCCAGGCCACCAAACTTTAACCACTAGGCCATGAGGGCTAGCTCAAGACTTTATTTTTAACTTTTCTGTTCACTGATACATCCCAGACATCTAGAAGGTATCTAGATGCTTAATGAATACTAATTAAATAACCAGTGTCCATTTTACAGATAGGAAAATCAGGCTCAGAGAGGTTAAGCAACCTTTCCAAGTAGCTCAGCCAGTAAATGGTGAAGCTAGACTTAGAACTCCGACCTTCTGCCTCCAAAGGTCTGATATTTCTTCTCTCTTCCCTCATTATCACCTATTCTCTTTTCCAGCCCTCTCATCCATCTCTCTTCTGCTCTCCGTTTCTCTTTGTTTCTCTACTTGCAGGTCTTTCTCTTTGTGCCTCTCTTCCTCATGATGTTGTTTACTGTTCCTGTGCTCAGTCTTTGTGGGGTGTGTGTGTGTGTGTGTACTATGTGTGGGGTGTGTGGGGTGTATGTGTGTGTGTGCACGTGTCTACATTGTGGCTGGGTGGACTCGTGTGTCAATATCACTCAGGGAGGTGGGACTCAGGAAGGGGAGGGAGACGGGAGACGGGTGGATGCTAAAGGCAGCCATGAAGGTGTAGGGCTGGAAAAGACCAGAGGAAAAGTAGAAAGACTGCACAGGGAAGGTAGCAAAGAGACTACAGAGCAAAGGGCACTGGATGGGAGCTAGGTGGCCAGGACCCAATCCGGCTACCCACTGGCTTTGTGACTTTGGCTCAGTCTCCTAACCTCTGCGAGCAGCATTTCCTTCACTAAATTGTCATCTCCACTGTAGGCATTCCAGCTCGACACTCTTCACAGCAATAAAGCCCAGATGAACAGTGGGTGGGAAAGGGCTCTGTAAGTGGAAACAAATGTGAGCATCCTCAAGGAAGGACAAGCGGACACGGTGACACGAGAACATCAGCCAGGTTTGGGGTCTCTCCCACTCTGCTTTGGCCCCCAGATGCTGCTGCCCATCTGAGTGGTTAGAAAGAGGAAATACCTTCAGCCTGTAGGATTTTGGCTGCAGCAAAGAATTTCCGGACAGTGAATGTGGGAGAAGTGATGGAACAGGTGCCCAGGAAAAGCCAGGGAGTCGCCTCTCAAGAGTGTGGGATCAATTTCCATGTGTCCGGGGTGATTTACAAAAGGTCTTGAGTGTGCACCTGGGAGGGGGGTGCATTAGGCTCATGAGGACAGATGGTGAAAGGAGCCCAGGAGAGAGGGACAGTGGACTCGTGTTGCCTGCAGGAAGTGGCTGGGCATCGACACACAGCACTGACTGTGCCGGACACTGTGACAGGGCCAGGAAGGGCAAGAGATGAGCTGGCACTGCACCTACCCAGAGCCCTCCCAGCCCCTGAGACTGTAGTTCTTGGGCCCAAGGAGGGACCAGTGGGAGAATGTGAGACCTGGTGTTCTGATTGTCCTTTTATAATCACAAAGGGTGATAAAATGTAAAGCGTGGGGATGGTTTCGCCTTGTGCACTCCATCCTGCCAGGCTGGACACCCATCAAAGGTCACAGCACACGTTCTAGGGGGCTACAGCCACCAGGTAACAAGCCTCCTGACTCAGCAGAGAATATTTTTTGGGGCCTCAACCAGAGCTCCAGGAAGTCTCTGCTGATTTACAGAGTAACTCGGAGTCTCCCACTGCTCCAAGACTGGGAGCTGGTCACCAGGGAGATGGATTGAAATCTCTGCCAGGGGCTTGCTGAGCGACACAGAAGATGGACCAATGACCACGTTCTCTCCAAAAGGAGGCATGAAGAAGGGGCACCGGGAGGTGCTTGTCTTCCTCACCAGGTGTGCAAACACACCCAATGGTCGTCCGCACAACCTGTGCACAGGGGAGTTCTCTAAGAGTGAACCCCTTAGTTGCTATTACGAGCCTTTGCTTACCGGTGAGGTAAGGATGGAATGAGATCGAGTTTGTGAAAGCCTTTGAAAAGCAGAAAGGTACGATGCCAGGTGTGCTGTTTTTAGCATCATATGAATCTGGTCTTCCCAGCTGGTAGAGTGGAAACAGCGCGGGAAGGGCCAAATGACCCTCACCTGCCTTTAATGCCTGATTATGTGGAGTGAGTCTCTTCCTCTTTCTGAGCATCTTATGAGCATTTTATTTCTCCAAGTCTCAATTCCTCGCCCGTACAATGTAGGGAGGGACAGATCATTTGGGGTGTCTCTTGCAGCTCAGACACTTTGGGGTCCTGTTCACACAGTCCAGGGAGGGGCAGGGGCATCTTGCTTCATGGCAGAAGGAGCACAAGTCTACAGGATACTCGGAGGCCTGCCCAGGCTTGGCCACCAGCCCCTGTGGGACTCTCCAGGCCTCAGTTCCTTCCTCAACCAACGAGGTCATGAGGTTCATGGCCCCAAGTTCACTGCTAGCCCCCACCAGTCCAGCATGCAATGGCAGCAGCGTCCCCTAGAATGTGGGGCCGGCACAACCCAGCCACACCCTTACCTAGTGCCTTGTACCTCTGTCCATTCTTGGCTCCACTCTAGACCGGGGACGAGATATCCAGGCACAAGACAAGCCAAGCACCTGACGGCCCCTTCCTGCTCGCTCTCGTGCTTTTCCTGCCCAGTGTTCACTCTAATGGGGCAGGTAACAGAAGGCAGATGAAAAAGGCCTTTCTCTAGCTTTGCCACTCACAAGCATGCTCCTTGCAGGGCCCTCCCAAGAACATCAAAACCCCTTTCTCTTCATGTGTGTCTTCTCTGACAGCTCTGTGGACTAGGGGGAGCGGGTCAGGGTAGAAGCAGCACCAAGAGCTCGGTGGAGAAGAGCACGGAAATGCTCATCGTCCTGGAGCTGAATCCCAGCAGGGGCTGACAAGGACCTGAGAGGAAACCCCAGCAGGTCCACGCACTCTGCAAGGCACTGCCTGGCCTGGCTGGGTGCCTGCACTTCCTGGCCCAGGACCAGAGAAGGACAGCGATGGAGCCCCACAGATCCTGGGCCTGGGGGATTTCATCGTGCACAGGAACTTCCTCCACACTTTCCCTGTCTGCTGGTCCTTTGGCTTCTGCTTGATCACTTCCACTGACAGAGTGCTCACTACCTCACAAGACAGCTCATTTCACAGTGGACAGCTCTGGATGAGAAACCTGCCTCCGTGGATTGAGGCAAAATTACCTCCAGGGAGCCTGAGAAGCGCCCTCTGGAGTTTTACAGAATAAAAGGTCTGCATGACCACTACCTCCCTCCCGCCTCCTGTAGCCCCGTGGCTGGGGCATGACTTGTGACCTGGGAGGCCCCTTGTCTGTAACTCCACTTAGCAGCTCTCCAGGGAAAAAGTACAAAGAGAAATGACAGCCAGGAGAACCTAAGGTGTCCTGTGGCTCAGGCATTCTAACTCTATGATAGATGAGGAAACACAAAGAGATAAACTTATTAGACCCCAAAAGTGGGCACAGCCCCGACCCTGCACTCTTCTTGCCCTCCTGTCCGTGTCTGGTCACTGCCCTCTCACTTCATGCAGAGAAAGTCATCAAGGAGGGGGAGTAACAGAGGAAGACAATGACCAAGACAGAACCGAGTTCTGGGGTTCCGACTCAGGATCACGGTGTCTGAAATATCTTCTTACCTTCTCATGGGAAGGAGGCCAGGGTCACCGGGTTCCTCCCTGGAAATTAAGAGCTGTCCCGTCTCTGCCATCTCATTTAGATGAGGCGTGGGGCTCGGGGGTGGTCTCAGACCTCTCCGAGGGGGTCTCCATGTGTCCACAGAGCAAAGCTGGGTCTTGGGAGACACCCAGGCTCCCTGCACTGTGAAACGAGTAGAAAGAGGACAGGCGGTCCACTACGAGGAGGGTTCGGAAGGAGGACAGCCTCTATAGGTATCTTGGAGACCCGCTGGGGCGCATTACCAGCCTGCATGGGTCAACATATGCCGTGGCAAAGCGGACAGCAGGGACTGGCAAATCCAAAGCCCCTTAGTGACCCGGAAGCCAGCATGACCACAGCGCCATGCTCTCTCAGCAAGATGCCGCGAGGGCATGGTTCACCGGAGGGCGGCTTCCTTCGCAGATCCTGGCCCCTGCTGGGTCCTCCTCCACCCGCCCGAGCTGTGAGTGCAAAAATGACTCAGACCGAGGCAGTGTTTCCATCTAAGCAGCCTAAACTAAATTTGACACAGATATCACTATCCCAGCTCAAGTCCCCCGACTTTCCAGCCACTCCTAGCCTACCTCGTCATGGACACCAAGGGACCCTCAACTTTTCCAAGGCCCCATCTTAGAAAGGGGTGGTCCCACATGAGCACATGGCTGCCTTCCTGTGATTACACCACAGATTCTGAAAGACCTTCCTTGTAGGAACTGTTCTCCTCGCTGGCCTGTCACAGTGGGATAAATAGTCTTCTCCTCAATTTGTAAGTGCAATTTGGGGAACCTCCCTCCCCACTCACTCAGTCCTGTGTGTGGGTCCTATGCCCGACTCCACTGTTCTCGCTCCCTCCACGTCTTGGGCCTAGTCAAAGTCATGGTGATGGCACAGGACCAATGACAAGCCAAAGAGACCCAGGACAAGAGCTTCTGGGTGAAACCATTGCTAAAAGACCCTCGCCCCCGGAGAGGCTCAGCTGGCGTTACCTAAGCTGAGAACTTCTTCCATTTTGCCACCATGAAGAAGAGGCTCCCTGAGGATGAGGCCAGTGCAGAAGAGACAAAGCGACGAGGCCAACGTCATCGTTTGAGGGTCTGGCTCCAGTCAGAGCTTAAGTGGCTCTCTCTCTGACCTTTCGATCTCTGGAAGGAAAAGGGGCTGATCTTGATGCCAACAACCTTCCGGGCACTTCTGTGCTCCTTCATTAAGGGTAAGAAAAGTGATGCCTCCACTCTTCCTTCCCAACAGGGGGTCACTAAATAAGCTAAGTCACCGCCGCCAGCACCCAGCAGACCAGAGCAAAACCATCCCAAACAGCAGAAACTGTAGGGGAACATAGTGAGTGGATTCAAACAATGGATCCCACGAATGTTGGAGCCTGGCAGATTTCTCTTGCTATGAGACCATTGACAAGTCATCGTGTGTATTCAGAGAGGAGACTTTTTGTTTAATAACACAGGTAATTCATAAATACACCACGTCAAAATTTTAAACTTAATCTGAAAAAGAAGGGCAAAGCCTGAAAGCCCACTCCACTCCCACCTCCTCTTACCACTCAATTTCACTTCCCTCCGCAGAGGTAACTTCCACGCCTATCCTTCTAGACTTGTTCCTTTGTATTTGTATAACTATACATACACACGTACACAGGCACTTTTATTTTCTTTCTTACATAAACGTTGCAGCAGAAATCATCTCCTACTACGTATTCACCACATTGTTACTTAATCCTGGACATACGGCAAGAAAATATTTCCCATCTGCCCTTGCAGTTAGGTTGGGAACATGTGACTGAGTTATAGCCAATGGGAACACAAGCAGAAGTCATTTGTCATCTCTGGTCCAAGACAGTTATGATTGGGAACGCCTTCTGCATGTTGCCTCTCCTTGGCCAGAAGTGAAGGATTCTGAGATTACAGGATTATAAAGAGGAGGTGGCATGGGTTCCCAGTCCTTGCCTGGAAGAAAGCCACACCAGAGAGCCGACTGACCCACACAGACTGTGAAGTGAGCAAGAAATCAACCTTGGTAGTTTTAGGTGTCTGAGGCTTGATGTTTATATGTTACTGAAGAATAGCCTAGACTATCCTGACTAATACAAATAGAATCAAACCCTCCCTATTGTTCTGGACTTTTTTCTTCTTAACAGTGTGTACACGCTAGATACTTCTCTTCTCTTCATCAGGAAACATAGAGCCATCGTGAGGGGATCAAGTGAGAGCACTGAACTTCAGTCTCTGGAGCTCCAGGAATCCCATCCTCTTCCCTCCTGCTCGCCCTCCTTATAGCACCAATGAATATTCTGACAGAGGCCTGAAGCTTTGGCATCCTGGGAAACAGAATAGACTTGATGCTTGGAGATGCTCTAAGAAGACTTCCTTGCCCCCACATCTCTGATGCTGGACCATCCAAGGACCCAAAACGCTACCATTAGCTATATATGCCCTTGGGTCCAGAGGCTTTAAGATTTCCTACAAATACCCCCAGGAAACACGACACTCTAAACCTCAACTAATCAAGTGGGGATTAGCGTTCCAAACCGAGAACTTGATGGCGTGGGGTGTGCAGTGGGTAACAAGAACATCAAGATAAGAAGGGAGGTGAAAGAAGAACATAGACAAAACTTTCATTAAAAAAAAAAAAGCACATTTTTTCCAGTAGAGTTCTGGGGTTTGTTACAGTCTGTTATTTTCTAATTCTTGGAAAAGTGGTCACCCACGTAGGGAACCCCTGACACGACTCCATTAGCCAGAGCGTCCAGGAAACCAGAAGGCCCCAGGGATGTCCAGTTGGGAAGCATAATGATGACGAATCCTGTCCATATTGTTGATGATTTAACAACTGGTTTATTATGTAGGATGTTCTGGGTCACTCCTGGGAAACTATTTAAACAAATAATCTGCAGCTAAATAATCTAATAGAACAAGTGTTGTCAGGTTCTTGGAAGAGAACCACAATCTAAAGCTATTCACAGATTCTTCGAACTGGATCTCCCAACAAGATCCCTTTATTCTAGTAGCGAGTAAACTAGGGCCTGGAGAAGCTAAGGAACTTGCCCAAGGTCAAAATTTGCATTCTTCACGCATAACCCTCCCACCAAAGGGCTGATAGCATTTCCACCACACTGAGATGTCCTCGGTGTTATGGAAAGAATGCAGGAATATGAGCCACAAGACCTGTTCCTAATGCAGGCTCTGACACTCAGCAGTGCATGACCTTGGCCAAGGGGCTTAACTTTTCTGAACGAGGTCCGCTGTCAAGGTGTTAGGAGCCTGCCAGTTACGTGGCTCCCTTCCGAGGGAAATGGCTTCATGTAGTCATTTCCTGCAAAAACTGCTGTAGCTTAGGCTTCAAGTGCAGAGCACAATCAACCCAGCCACCCCCTCATGACTTTTCTGGCCAGGGAGAGGAGAGCAGTCAAAGGCAACCACGGATTACCCAAGCGTGGGAAAGACTAATGACCTCAGAGATGGAAAGGTATGAAATCTACCCAGTATAAACACAGGTACCCCTTTCGAGACACTTAAGCACTTGGCGTAGTGAACTCGCTTGGCTTCTCCTTCCTAGGAGACTCCAGTTTGGTTCAAGTGTCCACCCTTCCCCATTTTATCCTGTGTGCCTTCAGATGTGGGTTCTGAATACACTGACCCAATCATGGCAGTCTCATCTCCCTGATCAATGTTTGATGCAGAAACCCAGGTTTAAGCCAATCAGCACATGGCATTCCCCTAACAACTGTCATTTGTCCAGAAACGGGCACGTGACTTAAGTTGACCAATCAAGTGGAAGGGAAGGACTTTTATTCCATGCTGGGAAAGAATTTTTATTCCACGCTTTCGCTATCTGCCTGTATGTGAATCAAGCTTATGGCCCCAGCTGCCGTGGCAGCCATCTTGAAACCATGAGGGAAGACGGCCTGAGCCAAGGTCAATCCTTAGAGAAAGAAAAGAGCTGAGCAAATCACAGAGAAACGGATACAGATGAGCATATTTCCCCCAGGGTCCATTCTACCTCTAGACACTCTCTATGTGAGATTTTAAACGTCTCTATCACTTAAACAAGTGTGAGACTCTCTCTGTTTCTGGCAGTTGGAAACATCCTAACCATTGGACAAGGTCAATTAAAATACATGTAGAAGAAGGCAAGTCCCTGGAAATCAGGATATACCCTAAATGAGCTTGAGACATTGCTCTAATACCACATCTCATAGTCCTGGAAGTACAGGGTGCCAGCGCTCCCAAGGGTCCCAAGGGTCCCAAGGGTCCAGTCTCCATGCTGCTGGAGAGACTGCCTTCCACACTGCTCCACAGTCCTTTGGATCTCAGAAATGAACCCCAGGAACTGAAACCTAACCTAGTGTGTCTCTTCCTATAACCTTTGAGGAGCTGGGCCAACATAGTCTCTCGTTCTCAGTTTCCATCTATAAAACAAGGTTGATGATACTTGTCCAGCTGACCTTCATAGTCCATCTATTGAGTTCATTGGCCACTTCCAAAACCTCATCCATTTCTCTTCTACTCATCCTCTCTCTGTGCCCCCGACCCTCTGAACCAAGAGCAGGGTCAGGTTTGGAGGGACAGGGCGGGATAACAAGTGGTGGCGGTGGAGCCACCACCTACACGGGTATGGTTTTGCGTTGTGGATGATCAGAGCCTCTGAGACACAAGAAAATTCATTAAGAGAGAAATACGCCACCCTTCTGTCCCCAGCCCACTGCCTGGCAACACCTTGCAGAATGGGCCGAGGACGCCAATCCTTACTGTGTGCCCTCTGCCAGTCCTTTTGGCCGTTGGAACTCCATGCATTCCATTCCAGGGCCCAAGATGGTACTGGAATGCAGCAAGTCATTTCTATTTCTTCCCTGAGATCTTCTGCCAGGTACAGACTCTGACGGTTTCTGAGAATGGGACCCTCCTGAGTGGGAGGGTCACGTCACACAGCACTGTATGGGACTCCTGCTTTCCTCCCCCGTCACTAAACATTTCAGCCCTGGGCCCATGGGTAACAGTGAGCACAGAAAGCAACCTTGTAGGGAATAAGAGATCCAAGAGAATCCCAGGACGGAGTCTGAGCAGCTCCTACAATCCTCTTCATCATGGAAGCATGAGGCAGTCGCTTTTCTTTGACCCCCGAGAATCCGTCCCCAAAGTATTTTTCCACTCCTCTGGGACAAGAGATAAAAGCAGTCAGATGCTTATCTGAAAAACAAGGAGACTGGAATGGACAATTTTCTAAGTCACTTCAGACCACATATTCTTGGTTATAACATCTCCTAGAAAGGAATCGTGAGGCTCTTGGAGTTTAAGATGTGAGCCATGTAGCTTCTCTCTGGCCTCAGTGTCCTCAGCGGTTCCATGGAGCTTACCTGTTGCCCAGGGTCTACCCAGATTCAGAGATAAGATGAGT